AATAATAATAATAATAATAATAATAATAATAATAAGCTGAAAAAATACTTGAATGTTTTGATTTTGTATTTATTGGAGTTCTGTATCTGATGTATTCCTGCTCAGACCCACTGCATTTTTAGCTGCTTTAAACCAACTGGAACCAAACCTGGCCCCTTTAGTTCTCTGTAAGAGTTCAGGTCCAGGACTTTCAACCTGACATAGATCATCAATCTCCATCATGTGCACCTTTTACAGAGGTGCCATCGAGAGCATCCTGGCCGGCTGCATCACGATGTGGCACGGAGAAGCCGAGAAGGTTGTCGGCAATCTGATTCAAGACGCCCAACACAACTACACGAAATTAGTCAACACATTTCTTTTTCTATTAAAAATGTACAAAATGTGCATCTATTCACACAATTTTGCGGACGCCGAGTTAAATTTTGAAGTGTTCGTTGCTGAAAGTCATCCACAGCACATCGACTGTGTGATCTCTCTCGATATGGCACGACACTGTAGAAAACATTATTTCACTGCAGGACAAAAACTGCAACAGCTTCATCATTCTTCATCATAAGATATGTTAATTTAAAACTGTGGTGTTTAATGAAGTCTAAGCTGTTGTGTCTGAGCTCCTCACAGTCCTCTGCAGTCTTAGCAGCAGCTTGTTTTACTATTGCACACAGCAGGTATCTGTTATATTTGGGTTGGAAAAACCTTGAATTTAGAAAACTCCCTACTCACTGCCGTCTCCTCCTCCTTCTCTCGGCTCGCTTGCTGTTCCTGTTGGGCTCTGCATACCTGGTGTGAGGCTGCTCTTCACCTCCACTACTGCAAGAGACCAGGAGTCATTGATTAGCTTGGAAAATGTTGTTGTTGCATCAATGTCTGGACACACACACACACACACACACACACACACACACACACACACACATACACACACACACGCAAGCTGTGTACAGTCGGTGTCCATTTCATCCAGATGAGCTGTGCTGCTGAAAGTCAGGGATGCAGCGTCCTGGCTTCTAAAAATAGCTGCTAGCCAAACATTAGCCTAGCAATGAATAGCACTGACACATTGCGTTACTTAATTTCCCTCTGGGATCAATAAAGTATTTTTGAATTGAATTGAATTGGCATTAGATCTATATTTAGAACGGCTTGGCTAAAGGACACGGGACTGGGTGCTGCATTTACAAGAGCTGCAAACAGAAACAAATCATCAGAGAGAGGGCAGCCACTCAGAGCAGCACAAACGTTAAACGTGTACCAACACAGCCTGAAACTCTGACACACTAGCAGTTTAGACCTTGCTAAGGTCTAAATGTCTGAGCTGACAAAATGTTCTTATGAAAATAATCTATGAGAAGCTCAAAGTTTGTAAAAATGTTGAAAAGAGTTCCGAGATTAGTGTGACATCATCACACTCTAAAGTTACACATTTTGTGGTAAAATCACCAACATATCCAAATTTAGGATGGTTCTGCTCTGAAGTCTGAGCTGTAGATCCCAAAAAGGTTGGATTTTACCTCCTGATCTAACAAAATCTTGTCAACGGAGACAGTTTCATAGTTTTTATTGTTTCATCTACGTCGTATGATGAATGGTACCAGAAGTGAGAGATGTTGTATTTTGATGTTTATTTGGTTTGGGTTTTTTCCAAATCACCAGTAGGAAATATGAATTATTATATACAGTGGTTTGCAAAAGTATTCATACCCCTTGAACTTTTCCATATTTTGTCACATTACAACCACAAACATAAATATATTTCACTGGAATTTAATGTGAAAGACCAACACAAAGTGRTATACAATTGTGAAGTGGAAGCAAAATTTTACATGAATCAAAACATTTTTTACAAATAAAAAACTGAAAAGTGCGACGTGCAAAAGTATTCAGCCCCCTTTTCCCTGAGTGCAACCAATTGCATTCAGAAGTTGCCTGATCACTGCTAATGACTCAAAAGGGTCCACCTGTGTGTAATCTAATCTCAGTACAAATACAGCTGCTCCGTGACGGCCTCAGATGTTGGTTAAGAGAATATTGGGGAGCAAACAGCATCATGAAGTCCAAAGAACACACCAGACAGGTTAGGAATATGGTTTTGGAGAAGCTTAAAGCAGGCTTAGGTTATAAAAAGATTTCCCAAGCTTTGAACATCTCACGGAGCACTGTTCAATCCATCATCCGGAAATGGAAAGAGTATGGCACCACAGTAAACCTGCCAAGACAAGGCCATCCACCTAAACTTACAGGCCAAATAAAGGAGATCACTGATCAGAGAGGCAGCCAAGAGGCCCATGGTGACTCTGGATGAAATGCAGAGAGCCACAGCTCAGGTGGGGGAAACTGTCCACAGGACAACAATTAGTCRTGCACTACACAAATGTGGTCTTTATGGAAGAGTGGCAAGGAGAAAGCCATTGTTAAAAGAAAACCATAAGAAGTCCCGTTTGCAGTTTGCCAGAAGCCATGTTGAGGACACAGCAAACATGTGGAAGAAGGTGCTTTGGTCAGACGAGACCAAAATTGAACTTTTTGGCCACAATGCAAAACGCTATGTGTGGCGGAGAAAGAACACTGCACATCACTCTGAAAACACCATCCCCACTGTCAAATATGGTGGTGGCAGCATCATGCTCTGGGGGTGCTTCTCTTCAGCAGGGACCGGGAAGTTGGTCAAAGTTGATGGGAAGATGGATGGAGCCAAATACAGGGCAATCTTGGAAGAAAACCTGTTGGAGTCAGCAAAAGATTTGAGACTGGGGCGGAGGTTCACCTTCCAGCAGGACAACGACCCTAAACATAAAGCCAAAGCTACAATGGAGTGGTTTAAAAAAAAGAATATTCATGTGTTAGAATGGCCCAGTCAAAGTCCAGACCTAAACCCAATTGAGAATTTGTGGCAAGATCTCAAAACTGCTGTTCACAAATGCTCTCCATCCAATCTGACTGAGCTTGAGCTGTTTTGCAAGGAGGAATGGGCAAGAATTGCAGTCACTAGATGTGCAAAGCTGGTGGAGACATACCCTAAAAGACTTGCAGCTGTAATTGCAGCAAAAGGTGGCTCCACAAAGTATTGACTCAGGGGGGCTGAATAATTTTGCACATCGCACTTTTCAGTTTTTTATTTGTAAAAAATGTTTTGATTCATGTAAAATTTTGCTTCCACTTCACAATTGTATACCACTTTGTGTTGGTCTTTCACATTAAATTCCAGTGAAATATATTTATGTTTGTGGTTGTAATGTGACAAAATATGGAAAAGTTCAAGGGGTATGAATACTTTTGCAAACCACTGTATTGTGATGGAAACAGAAGAATGACGGGTGAAAATACAAACCAGATTCTGAAGATATTACGATCACTGGATGTGCTTATACTTTGAGCCAATCCAATTCAAAAGGGTCGCTACCATCAAGTGACCATAGAAAACACAAAATGACTGTAGCTTAGTAAAACAAATAGATATTGAGCTAAAATTTGGTGTGACAGCAGCTGAGTCCTTCACAACCTGTACTCTAAATACAGCTAATCTTTGCCTTAAACTTTGTAACTTCAGTTAAACATTTACAACAGGTTAACTTTTGGAGTCAATCCAATTCACCAATAGCTAGCTGATAATAGCCAACCCAAAAATGACTCTGACTCAATAGACTGAAGAGATATAAAGATTCAGTCTGGTGTAGTAGTTGAGAGTCATTCACAACACATTCTCAGAGTGACACTTCACATCGTTCCATGAGATTGTTGGTTAAATTTATTGTTTGACCAAAAAATGCTACAAAGCCATCATTTCTCAACATAAGACAATCTTAGTCTAAACCATTGCAAAGCCAACAAGTGATACGCATTCCTTCAATGGATGCTAAGCCTTTAAGCCTGGCACACTTGTGACGAAGACACAGCTTCCTGTTTCTAATAGCAGCTGTTAGAGTGCCCTTGACAGAGATCTACTCTCCTGGCCTCTCTTGACCTCAGGCAGGGATTAGGCTACTTCCTAGAAAACGGCGCACACGTCTACGTGCTGAGATGTCAGGTTATTTTCTACCTGCTGCCCAGGGGGTAAACTCAATTAGGGCTTCTTTCAGTGAAGGTTGACCTTTGTAAGGTGCTCTGATTGGTTACCGGCTCATCTCTCTTGGTCTGCAGCCCACATGGCTTTTAATCTAATCAAACTCTAACATCCACTGAAAGGCCAAGCTAGTTAGCTCTGTCCTGGAGGATTGGGACTAGTTTGGCAACAGACTATGACACAGATCGTATCTGCAGTCAGGGTTAAGGTTTGCCTTTTACATCTTCAGTTTTTCATTTTGGAATCCAGACATACAGAGGAGGAGTCAGGACTTCTGGGTTTTGACCGTTGGCTCAGAAGAAGTAGCTGCTCAAACAAAACGGAGAGCTGTGGATAAACAAGGCCATGTGTGTTCATATTTATGTGTGTGTGTGTGTGTATGGGTGTGCAGCCACTCACATCTGAATTACCTAAACAAATATCCTGGCAGTTCACCGTGACGCACGTGTCTCCCCTTCCACTACCACACACTGTGTGTGAGTGTGTGTGTGTGAGTGTGTACAACAGTCCATTTGGCAAGAGAGCAACATTCCACAGCAGCCAGCATCTGACGTCAAACGGAGGACATTTATAGCCTGGTAAACACACACACACACACACACACACACACACACACACACACACACACACACACTCGTATAGCCTGACAAAGAGAGAGTCAATTCTAACTGAACACTTCTTATTCCACGCATTAATACATTAAGATAGAAATAGTTGGGAGAATTAAAAAAAAAAAAAACTAGGTTTGTGCAGTTTGTGTGTCTGAATGGAAGTAAGAACTATCCTGTGAATAAATCTCAGGTTAAAAATGAGACTGATCACGCTGCAAACCCAATGCAAACAGTCAGAGTTTTTAAGTTGTTTTGGTTAAACCTCGCAAATAACTTCCTGTGCAGTCTCCAGTGTTATAATGAGATCATTTTCAGCTACTACCACTGCAGATTTTAGCTCAGTATCTTTTAAGCTTACAGCTTTAGAGCCAGTTAGATTCATGAGGCTCTTTCACGAGATGCCTCAGTCCAGAACTGAGATGTCTCCCAGTCGCTTTGGTGTGATTCAGAATAAACCAAGACAGCGAGGGGGTCGAAGTCAGCCCAACTCTGATGCTCCTCTGAGCCAGGGAGTGAGACAGTAACAGAGAAAAGATGGCCAACATGTGAAAAGACAAGTTGGTGCCGTAAATCAGTAATGTGATGAAGCGATGACATCCGTTCTGTTGGATCTGTCGGCTTGAAGGATTAAGCAACAACAAATAGATTTATTTCTGAGGAAAGATGGATGATGAGGTACAGTAACCAAAGAATGAGTTAACCACAAACTGAATCATTAAACTGAGTTAATTTATCATGTTTTGAAAACAAAACGAGGCAGAGGTCTGTCACACATTTAATGTGCTCCACGACAACTCAGCTGAGTTCTGCTCCGTGCCTCATTTGGTGATGATCGCTTCATTTCTGAAAACTCATGTCTGAGCAGGACGGGGATGGCTCTGTCTGTGGTTTATGAACGGCCGAGGCAGCAGAAATACAGACCGCTCTGTATGGAGAGTCTGCCCAACTGTTTTATCAAAAAGCATATTTTTTGTTTTGACTAATTAAATGTTGATTAGCTGTTGCAGCCATCTCGAATAAATGACTATAGTTGCTCATTCAATATTTTGCTAACAGACAAACAGGGCTGACTTTTACAATTGTTTCCAACATTTTAAACCAAGTTGCAGCAGTTTTTTGTGCTTTCTAAGGCCAGTTGT